AAGAGGAAAGTGTTTCTTAATTTTCTTCTTCAGAATCTCTAATGTTAAAATTACTGTATAGTTCGTTGCAAGGATGCCCATTATCTAATTCTCTATCTGCAGATAGAGATCATTCCATCTTTAAATTTATACAATAATTGTTAAGTGTTCAAAATGTTAAAGAAATGTCAAAATTAGGGAGAGTTTTGTTTAGCGCTTCACAACGAAGATTAGAACCACTAAATTTTGTGTAGCATATAATATGTATATACATATTTAATATATATAACACGGAAAGAATCGAATAGTTTTGTATATGTAGGTCTATATATGTATACATACTGAAACGCAAAAGAAACGCAACATCATATCTTAGGGGGAAATAATACATATAGGATATAATTTTGTATCTAAAAAGTAAGGACTTCTTCAACTTTGTAAATATCGGTAATTTAACGATTGAATGATTTTCATACCATTACCGGAAGTTAAATTTGAGTCTGCTTAACAAATATCAAAAATTGCATGTTTAACAAAATATTTGGGAATATTATGGGGTTTTAAGGAATTGTATCTGTTTATCATAAGTAAACCAGCAATGTTCCGAAAAATGAATTCACCTATCTTTTCCGTAAGCGATGCCAAGGCTTCCTGAAGAAGGCATTTCCATTGCTCTAGCTGGAAAATCTCAAAATAAAGGTGATGGAGAGTTGCAGAAGCAAATATGACCTATATCACGCCTCAACAGGCTCTTACGTATCATTAGCATGAATGACAGCCCTTGGACCGGAAGTCCAAGGGTTACTACTTTGCGCTTGGCTACAGAAAATTCGACCTCATCATCTGGAAAACAGGCATTTAAAAATGGCAAAGAATATTTCTTTCGCTCAGATCTCGCGACTGATGAACCTATTGCATCGTAGAAATCAAGCTACAATTGTTGTGTATGGCAGACTTGCACGCTGTAATTGAATGGCCGGGGTGGGGGTGTTTTAACAGTCATGTGTTACTTTCTAAAGTTAAAAGATAATCATTTAACATTTTAATCAAATCTTTGATGTTTTCAAATCAAGTTTTACCTTAGTGTATTCATTTATGAAAATCATTAGATGAAAAATTCAAATATTTGTAGATTACTGCTTGTTGCGTTTCTTTTGCGTTTCAGTATATATATAATGTAGGAAGTCTACTGAAATTATCATGTGTTACTTTTCGTTTGTATATTTTGTATCGTACTATCTGATGTGCCATACGGCATAAGGAAAATAAAGAATTGAATTGAATTGAATCTTTTGATTTAGGGGGGATCTGATTTCTTCTTGTTCAGTCTGAGCTACGCTGTTTTCTAAATTTCTATTGAAATTTGTTCGTTTTTTCCAATGTCTGTGACAGAAGCTTAACCGATCGAAAAACTGACAAAGATTGGTGAAAACAACACCTCTTTTAATTAGAGCTAATAAACAAATTAAGTTATTGGCCTTAAATGATTCAGTATTTCAGATATCGAAAATTTTCAGCATTACCTGTGTTCAATATCTCACTTCATAAAATCATTGTGACTTTTGTCGAATCAATTCGTTGCTATTCTGCAGGTAGTCTTTGAGTTATCTTCCTTACAGTGCTAGAATCAACACCGATGCGTTTCAAAAAAAAGCATCCTATGAAATGAGATGTTGCGGTCATAATTTTGTTGTACATGTTATAAGCACTGTGAAGTCCTTTATTCCATTTAGATTTTTGTCTAATTGAACGAGTCTAAATAATGCAGACGCTCTCATAGGTTAATTGCACATATTTTCAGATATTATTGCAAACCTTAAAGTAATATTTACTATTAATATTTTCAACAGAAATGACTGTTAGTTTTGCATCGGTGATCTTTCGTTTTGCGAAGGAGTCAGTTGATTTTGCAATTGAATCTGTTGATTTTATTTAAAGCTGATTGTTTTGTATTTCGTTTTGCATATAGAATTGTATTTTCTTCACTGATAAAAGGTTAGGCTTTGCCTATCCATGGTGTATTTTGTGAATAAAGTAATAAAGCAGAAATCAATTTATTGGTAAAGAAGCTTGATAAGGCTAAAATAAGCTCATTTAATTGCTGTTTAAATGTTTTTTTTTTTAATATACAACCTAAAAGTACACCCTTTATTTAATAAGGAATGTTGAATTTTTGAAATGTCGTTTTTGGATTTTATTAGAACTATTGAGTTGCTTTTCAAATACACTTTTTTTTAGTAATGTACATCAAGAAATTTGAATTTTTCTATTTATTGACCAAAAATGAAACTAAGATGATAAAGAAAATTCAGATAAAGTAATTGTTATTTCTATTTAATGGTTAAATTTCGAATAATGTTACATGTAGAAAGTATTTAGAGCTATGAGTTATTCTCAAAAGCACAAAGTAAGCAGCTTGTCATTTAAATGTAAAGGGGAACCACTTGACTCAATTCTTTGTACTTTTACTAGCATACCTTTTTTTTATTATTTTTTATTATGATTATTTTTTAATTATTTGGAGGGGGGGGGGGTAATGATATGATCAAACAGATTGATCAGGTGTAAATTTGATACACGACAAAGGCCATTTTACTTGGTTATTGATTCAATAAAAAATTAGATATTAATTAACATTAATTTTATATATGCCAACAAGCCCGGCTCAGTGCATTATTATGCCACACAAGGCAGTTCCGTCACGCGATGAGCGTTTGGGTTTATGAAGATATAAAGCGATTTCCTCATTTGTAGTTTCACAAAGACATTTGAAAATGTAATTTTTTTCAGTACATTTTCCTAAACGTAAGATAATCCTACGACATTTTTTTTTTATTTCTGGATCACATAGGACACCTTCCAATCACTAAATAAAGGAAAGTCCGCATGCAAGTTTCCTCTTCTTTTTTTTCAAATTTAATGCCTTGATTGTTCTGTGTGCTATTTAATGTTAATTTAAAAAAAAATCGGTAACATTTTGACTCTCTTTTAATCTTTGTACATAATAAAATATTTAGTATTTATCTTTTTACTGCTACTCATTTTTGTTACTAGATATACAGATGCTCACTCCTCCATGACACCTCTGATGTTTTCAGGGGTCTGTATTTGCTCTGCTCTCTGGTTTAATTGGACTATTGAGCATAATTGCATTTACCGCCATGTGCGGTACGTGCAACTTATCGAAGAAGAATAGTCTAAGCGCGATAACTCTGCTCCCCTTAACCAAATTTCCCAAGTAGTCCCAGGTCATAAAATGCGCCTGTGCGCCCATCCTTTCCGCTTCATCAATTTTGAACACCCAACCACTCTCACCCACGGGCACTGGAAGTTATGTAAATATTGAGTATGTATATGCATAAAAAAGGAAGGGTAGGACACTCTTTTTGAGGCAAAATTGGGTTTGGGGTATTGTTGATGTTTATGTAAACGGCCTGATGCGATAAATCCTCTCAATATACTTTACTTACAATGTATATCTTGCTTCGTTTCGCTCTAATGCATTTTATTTGACGAAATAGACGTTTTTACACCTCCAAGTGCCTAAGAATTTTGCTAGACTGCTCTACTTCCGCTTACAATCACAAGTGAATTGAAAGCTAAATTTTGATTGGTCATTCAAACTGTAGAAAATTAAAATCAAAAGCAAAACATATAGTTTTTCGGTATAGACACGTTAGAGCATAAATCTTCGTTGTACAAGTTGTAGTAGTTTTCTTCTGTGTTTCTGCTGGAATAATTTTATGATTCCAGTGCCACATCGACCATCGTCAGGGCTTAAATGACCCTCCCAGACTGCAATTGATGCCGACACTCTGCAGAATTTTGCAACAAGCCATCACTGACAACTTCTGGTTACCTTCCAGGGTTGTCAGCACCATGTGGCTCTTTGTTTTGCAAATGTATGCCAGATTGAGGATTGGCGCTTACTCACTGACACTTGCTATAATGCTTGATCATTGTCCATTGTTTTGTTACCATTGTTTTATTTTGTAATTACCTTATAAGTAAAACAAAATAAAGTTATGACAGATACTGCCATTCTGAATTCTTTATTCTTTCAAGATAATTACTAATGTACTGTTACTTTCATATTTCATGAAATATATAAGAAATAATACAACGGGTAAAAATGCTTAGTCAACATACTTTAGACTAGCATAATTTCTTTTAATACAAATCAAAATTACACAACCTGAAAGAAAAAAATGTTATTGCATGGGTAAGAAGATTATTTTAGGTTTCTTCATATGCGTTTAGAATGCAAGGTTTAATGATATTATGCCACTTTCAGAAAAATTTTTTTACGACAAACGTGAGGAAAAAATCATTTTGTCATTCATCAACCTGAGGAAAACCCAAATTGATGATTCATACCAAATACAGGATTTTCCGAACGAATATGTATTATTTCAAAAACGTCTGTAAAGCCCTGCATGTAATACAATCTCTTTCACAAAACGAAGGTTGACATTCACTGCGCAAAGGATACCAGTTGTCCCAGTTTTATTTTTGCCTTCGTTTTCTTCTCATAAACGTTTCATACACAGGTATTCTATGCTTGACCTACTTATGTGCAAAACACAGCAATCCATTTACTGAATAAGGAAAACCCAGGTAAAACCTCAGCTTTTGAGATATTTCATGCTCCGATGTGCTTTTTTTTTGAAAACCTTAGGACAAGTTCATAACTTCACTTTATGAAATGCAAAACTATTTGGATCTTTTCTGTGTATAAGGAAAATCATCCAAAATATTTTTATACTAGTCACACAATTATGAATTTTTGAAATCTGTAACTTTTTATCTAGATATTTTAGGTAAAATATTTTAACAACTTACAAACCGATTCTCATATCTTTATCGTTATTAATTCAGTCGTTGTTATCGTTATTAATTCAGTCGTTGATGTTTCACCTTCCAGATCCTTCAACATGGTATTTCATCTTGAGATTATATGTATTATTAATCACATTTAATGAAAATTCTAGTGTTTGAACATGTGATCCTCTTGACAAGGGATCAAGGATTCATTTTCATCCATACCTGCATGATCGGCCTATTTTGTTTAGTGTATTTATTTTTTCGTCAGATTCAATGGTTCAAACTTTCGACACAACCACATCGATATAAAATGAGAATCATCGGCTTAATACTTGAGATACTTCAATTCCATGGCATTTTTGTTCACTTAGAGGTAAGGAAAATAATTCGCTTTATATTTCCCTTTAAGTTTTTTTACATTCAAGATAACAAACTTCATTTTTTAAAAATAAAACAGTTTAACAGATGGAGAAAAAATACAAAAATGTAATGCCGTAAGGTATTGTATATGAAATATGTATACAATGCCATAGATGATTTAATTTATTATGGTTTTTTTAATTACAATTGCAAATATTAAATTTATTGGAGGTTTTGCATCAGGTAATAAAACGAAAGGACATATATGTATACATCTTCTATTATTAAAGTCACGCAAAAATAATAAATGCCAATGAAAAAGACACATTAATTGGCTATGATGACTTTTTTCTGAACAATATTAAACCCTGAAATTATTGCATGTTGATGCATTTATATTTTGCATCTCTGCTTTCAAATAAACAGAAGGCAATACATCCTGTCGTTGTATAATTCAGGAACTGACTAGATACGATGTCAATTGCAATAAGTTCATGTTCTAAATATTATTTACATTGTAAACTCATAATTATTTAAAATGAGATTATTTGTTTCTTAAATATGTATTTCAAAATTTTCATGCTAAATTTGTTATGTTTTAATTAAGATTTCATTTATGCTCCTTTTCAGGTTCTTAAAACAAACTGCTTGCCAACAGAAGTGACTGTTACAACACGGATATATAATTCTAAAACACACTTCGTTTCAAAAACCTTTTGCAAAGAAACATGTCCAGGAAATCAGTATGTTTTTCAAGAAAAATGTTTCGACAACTGCCCAATTTTGACATTCAAACAGGACAATGGATTCATAAAATATTGTATAAATAGCCCCAACAGAAACTTAGAATGCCTTAAAGCTATGTGTAATCAGCAACTCCTGTACTGTTTTAATGGATATTGTCTAAATTACTGTCCCGAATATACGGTTGATTTTAACAAAACATGTCTAATGCATTGTCCAGACGAAGCCCCATATATGACAGCCTATTCTTGTGATGGTGTGTGTTACTCTGGGAAAAAGTCTTGTTCGGTAACCTGTCCAAACTCCCATCCATTTGTCTTCCATTCTCGTGATATTAAACATTGCTTAAGGGAATGTCCAGACTTTACAGCAGTTAACGGATATTCCTGCGATACGGTGTGTCCACATGGGCTTCCTTTGCTTTTCAATAGAAGTTGTACAAAGGAATGCCCAACAACAAGCCCACTTATGTATCTCAAAACATCTTCCTTCAACAGGATATGGGTCTGCACCACAAAATGTCAGTCCAACATGGCATCTTTTAAAAATGTCTGTGTTTCTGTATGTCCAAACAATACTTATCTTGATAGTGTAAAGAAGGAATGTGTCGAAAAGTGTGATATTCTTCGACCATATATAAATGCAAATCCAGCTTTGAAATCATCTATTTATCATCAGCAATGCCTTTCCCGTTGCCCTGCTGAAAAATATGTTCTATCCTTGAACAACATAAGCCATTGTATTGTAGAATGTCCGAAAAACTTTTCCTTATTTAACTACACCTGTCTTTCACAATGTCCCGAATCTCATCCTTACAAAAGTATAATGTCTGTAAAAGACAATAAAACATTTTCGTGTGTTGAATATTGTGAAGAAAATGAATTTCTCTATAATGATACCTGCTACAGTCAATGTCCTGCAGATTTGGTGCACTATTTATCTACATGTGTAGAACAATGCTATGGATCATTTCCCTTTTTATATAAACACAACAGAACTTGTGTTGGAAAATGTTCAGAAGGCCATGTACTAAATAGAAATATTTGTGACGGAAAATGCCCTGAAGACCTATTTCATGTTGAAAACGGAATTTGTAGTTCAAACTGTAGCAAAAACACTTCTTTTTATATAGTGTCTGATGTTGGCAAAGTATGTATCTATTCGGAAAGTTGTCCAAAAGAAACAGTTTTGTTGGAAAATACAAAAGAATGCATTCAAAAATGTCCCATGAAAACACATATTGTGATAGATAATGTGTGTTCAAAAGTTGAAAAGTGTCCTAATTCTTATTTTGTCACTCTAGATCCAATGTATGGTTATCGATGTACAACAAAATGCCCGATATCCTATTTCAGTAACGGAAGAAAATGTGTCCGCTGGTGTCCTCAGAACATGGTTATCGTAGATGGCACATGTGTTAACAATTGCACTAGCACAAAGCCATATGGATTAAGAAACGAAAGTCTTAATGGAACCGTTTGTTACTCAGTGTGTCCAGATACGTATGTGAATTATCTGAATAAATGTATCAGCCATTCTATGTGCCTTTTCGGTAAAAAATTTTACATATATGAAAACACTTGCTATCAAAATTGTCCATCACATACGTTTATTAGTGAGATAAATACGTACTTTGTTTGCGAGAACATCAATAACACACCCTCTGCTGTTGATTTAAGCACTTTTGGTTTTATTGGTGTTTCATGTACTTTGTTATTCTACTTAATATGTTGTTTTCAAGGATTACCTCGCTGTTTATTTCGAGACTGTGCTGGTTTTGGGAAGGTAGGTAATATTCAAAGTAAAATAAAAAAAAAATTACAAACTATCAATTTTATTTCAGCAGGCTTTTTTGTATTCTTCTGAAGCAGAATCTACATGAAAAGAAGAATTCTCTTGCTGCTGACCTTCGATTTTCGCAATTTAGATTTTTCATCGACGTATTATCAATTAGCAATATTCATTTTCATTCCTGTGATAATTCGATATATCCAATCAAACTCTAAATTAAAGACACCACAGTCTGACACATCTGTTTCAAACTTGGATGTTTTACTACAGAAAGTCACTGATGGCAAACTAACAACTATAAACTTTATGGTAAACGTGATGACATCAACTTTTTCATCGTCTACTTTATTTATGTATCAATATACCATTATCACCTTCATATGGGGTTGATGTATACCATGTGTTTCGATACGCAAGAGCATTTTCTATGTACGAACATTTTTTTAAACGAGTCAGGCAACTGCCAAATAGGTTGATGATACAGGGTATCAACAATCTCGTTTAAACTCATCATATCGCAAATTTTATGGTCGATACAATGCCATTGTTTGTATTTTTAGCTATCATAAGGCTGAAATTTATACAATTTGTTAGGCCACTAATTTTCACACTGAAATGAGACTTTTCTGTTCACCCGATCATGACAAGGGACCACTCGGAGGGTGTGACTGGTCGACAGGGCCTGCTCACTCCTCCATGGCACCTAATACCACAACTCCACTTCTTTTTTTCGGTGGACCATGTTTGCTCTAATCACAATTTGTATTGTTTAATTGAACTTTTGACTATGATCACTTTTCGTTATCTTCACATTTCAAACTATTATCTATATATTTTACAGGTGTCTGCGACAGAGACAAGAAATTTAATTGCTGCAGTCGACAACAATGGAATAGAGATTGACGACGTTGAAAACCAGTAGTATCTTAATGTATTTATATGCATTTAAAGTTATTTGGCATATATGTGGTATGTTAGTATATATTCAATAAAGGGCTTCAAAAGGAGGTCGACGTTGAACTTGGGAATAAATCTTAGTCTTCTTATGAAAAACAGCAGATCCATGATTAATCATATAAATATGGTAGCATTTTTCGGTAGTGTAGATTCAAATTTGTTTAAATCATGGGCACCGGAGGTAGGGTGGTGCCATAATAGGAGGTAGCATTTTAACATTGCAATATATATTGCAATATATAGGGAAAAATCTTTAAAATTCTTCTGAAGTACAGCTCTGTCATTATTAGTCCTATCAATATGAAAGGTTCTTAACACAGTGTGGATTCAGTTTCATTTAAATCATGACCCCAGATGGTAAATTTGAGCCATAATAGGAGAGTGAGGATTAACATGGAAATTTATTGGAAAAAAATCAAATTTTTCTCTGAAAAACAGCTGAGCTATGAAAAGTTAAAAAAAAAAAATGGAAGAAGTGCCATAATTGAAAAGTAAATTCTACGTAATGCATGTTTTCTGGGGAGAATGTTTTTAAAAAATCTGTATGGGATCCAAACATTCATGGGAATAAAAATCAAACAAAATCTTAAGAAAAGCAGGGCCAATGTGACTCAGGTGAACTCTTAACTGTGTAAGGTATGAGAGGGAGTACGATAAATTTGTATTTCGTAAATTCTTAATATGCTGAATTGGGATGCATTCATAAATCGTATTATTTATGTTTCCGGTTTACGTTACGTTGTAGTTCATACAATATTGTGAGCTTGTGATTTTTCCAAGGTAAACTTAGTTTCCCATTCCAACCCAATATAAAATTATTTTTGATGTATTGCACGTGATGTCGTCAATTATACGTATATTTAAGGTGCAACGTTCACAAGTACACTTCTTAATAATTTGCATTGGCTATGACTACAGTTATCCCATATATAGTATACCCTCATACTCAGTCACTGAACGAATCAAGGAAAGGTATATTTTGATTAAGAATCCGTATGTAGTTTTTATTCTAGTGTGTGCAATACATTTAAGCATAATCAAGCTTTCCAATAAAGATTTGTAACCTATACTGAAGTATAAACCTAAGAAGCATATAACTTATTTCCGAAAAAAAAGTATCAATATTCTACAATGAAATATATCAGTGTATTCTTTGAGTATAAGGAAAATTAACATTTAATAATTGATAAGGATTAAATTTATGTAACCATAAAGGAGAACACTGCCTTATTTTTTATTAAGATCAGCTGCTAGGCTCACTGTTTTGCGTCAATAATAAAAGCAATGATGTACGATCTTATTTGAACAATCGACTAACAATACTTACTCCATTCATGTAAAAGGTGAAGATACAGAACAGTGTTCAATGGTCATATAGTGATCATATGTCAACTCGATGTATCCCAGTGAACTCGAAATAAAAGACACGACAGAGTCTACCACATCTGTTTCATAGAATGTATTTGGCCAACTATCAACTAAACTGTAGGACAAACGAGATATCTTCAGATTTTCAATCGTCAACTTTTCTTATTTTTGCAGTAATATTCCACTATCAACTGCACATGGTGTTTATGTTTCCTAACATATTCGATACTCAAGAAAAGCTCTGAGTACGATCAATATTTAACACAGACAGACTACTGAAAAAATTGTAAGTTGATGTTACAGGGATTTCACTACCCCATTTATAGTCAGCATTTCGTTCACTTTATGGTCGTTATAATGACCTTGTTAGCAAATACATGTAAAATCTATTATGAGATCGTATTTCACTGACATTTAATGCCAATTGTTGGGCCTTTGTTGTTTTTTTTTTAACTTAAATTGACTACGGAATATTCCGTCTAGTACCTGATCAATACATTGGGATCACGGAGGGAGTGGCAGGTCGACAGGGAATGCTTACTTCTCCTAGGCACCTGAACCCACCTCTGTAATTTTCAGGGTTCATGTGTTATGCCATGTTCACAGATTTGTATTATTTGTAATTTTTTTTAGATCGATCACTGTTCTTATCTTCACCTATTTCATTTGGAAACAGACGCTTTAGGTATGTGACAATGAAATATTGCTATAAAAGTGTCAATAGGGAGATTTATTGATGGCAAGAAAGATGTTGCGCACTCTGAGGTGTTTTATATTCAATGTTTAATTGGATGTTTGAGTGAATGAATGAATGAAAATGAAAAGTTTTAATTGATATAAGGTTTAGATGTGTCCACTTGTCGAATTGAAGACCACACCAAGAGTCTTTTCCTCTCAAGAAGAAGTTCTTAAAATTGAAATAAATTTTGCTCGTAAAAATACATAGTCGGGTCGGTTAATAAAGGCGTACAATTTGTGCTCCTGGGAATTCCAACAGATTATTGGTAGACCTGATCTCCAAAGACTAGATATATTCTTCATGAGGAACGCCAGAATCTCTTCAGTATCAAAATCAGTACACTTCAGTGTAGAATCACAAAGTATTTTGGTAGTCTACTGATCATAAAATATAAATATGCCATATTTTTGAGGAAGTAGTTGGCTGTGATGTCATAAACCTGCAAAATTGTTTTCAAACATCGTAAGTTTTTATACAGTTGAATTCAATTTTTTCGAAAAACCCTCTGGGTGGTTTTAGAGTCAACATTTGATTTACTGTACTTCTCCTATATGTTGTAGTAAAGTGCTTCTACAGTTTCTTCTTCACAACAGTAACTATTTTTGAGAAGAGTAAAGATAAAGAAACATTTTCTTGACCTTGATGTACGTTGCAATATAAGCACGGTAGTTTAAATTCACTCATGTTAACTGGGACTTTGAGAATATTTAAAACTGAAACGTGGTTTTGAAGACTTGCATCTTTAGAAAGAGAGCTTACAGTATATGTTGTTTTACCACATGTGGATTTAAAGCTAAGTTCTCTTAAAGTACAGTTGTTATAGTGAAATTTACAAACAAGGACTATGCTGTTGCAAGGTTTGTCAGCTGGAACCATTACATATGTATTGTTATTGTAATCTTTTTAATTCTTTTGTCACTTCACAGTCTACTTCCGACAGGGATGTAAATAGTATGTTTTAACACATACTGGGTTTCATGCAATCTTTTCTTATTAAAACATTTGTTTTATTGACATTTGTATATCTGTGAAGAGCATTGAAACCAATATTTATAAATTTTCACGTTCTGAAATCATCGACATAAAAAAGCAAATTCAAAACTTGGCGCACTTTATGTGCATTTAATGCTAACTACAACGTTTTGATACTTATCATATACAATTCTTGTTATTTAACTTTTGAATATTTCACACTTTGTAACCAACTAAACTTTATAGCCGTGATATTCGATTAGTTACCTTCTAAAATGTGAGCTCGAATTATATAGAACGAAGACCTATAATATATTTATGTGAAACTGGGTTTTCCCCATCAAAATTCAGGTTTTTTTCTGACTTCTATTCCATTGAATTTCAGCGTCGTGGTTATAAAAAAAAACCCTTCAAAATACCATTGACGTAAGTATATTTTATGGGTTTAATCCTTGTGTTATGCATTCTATATTTGTAATTTATCATGCTTCTAAACGGCATAGTCCGTTGTAAAATGTGAAAATGTTGTTTATTTTTTTATTATCGTGCATCGTCTGTATTTTCTTTTTTAAATATTTTAATGTGAGGGAATGTGAATGACATCATATGTAAGATACAAGTATTTCACAAAAGCAATGATATTTCTTGATAACACAAAAGACATGATTTTAATTTAAAGATAATATAATATATATAATATAAAGATATATGCATGTATATGATGAAACTCGTCGAATGGAAAACTCTCTTTTTACATTTCAGTAAATGAAAGCAAGCATTCTGAGAGTATTGCATTAAACGAAATGCAAACTTGATCTGTGACTCATAAAGATACACCCACATACCAAAAATCAGCTGAATATCTGCAAGCGTTTACGAAAAAGTGCGGAAAACCAAGTGGGATAGACTGACAGACAGACAGAGGGACAGCTAGACGGACAGCTAGACAGACAGTTAGACAGACAGACAGACTCAGAGGAAACCTATAGTCCCTTACGGTTTCACCGGTAGGGGACAAATAATTACATGAAACTCGGCCTAGAAACATCTATTTTTATTTGTTACGAATTATACGTCATGTAAATGATAAAGGGCTGAACTTATCATTGAAACATAAAAAAATTGACCACACTATCCAGGTAGTTCTTTGAAAAGACTACAGGAATTTCAAACATATATACTGTATTATATAGTCTATACTGTATTATATAGTCTATTATATATATATATAGAGAGAGAGAGAGAGAGAGAGAGAGAAAAGCTCTGGGTAGTTATTGATTCAAACCCGATTGTTGGAATATTTTTATCACGAAATGAGAATGCGATAAATATGTTTGAATAACTATTTCCAGAACATAAAAATATATGTAGTTAGTATCATTGTGAGACGCCATCCACGTTTTGCTAAAATTAAAAGAAATATGACACCTGAGTAGAGGATTCAGATGCCAATTGTACAGAACCAGCATTTATTGAGACACATTTTGTCTCTAAATACATGTATTTTCATATTTACTCTGGAATATCTAAAAATCTATTTAGACGTTAATAAGGAGTTATAGACCATGTAATCTTTATTGACGACATATTGAAAACGATGTACATCTTTGGATTTTTTCTTTGTATCTTGACACCTAGTAACCAACTGTCTGTGCTATTATGATGAAGATTGAGACATCTAGTTTATGTTTTCAAATCACTTGGATAATGTTATTATGTTCACAAAGGCAATGCGTCTTTAAAGATTTGTCGATGTATTCCTACCGATAATTATACTTTTAATATTTTCAAAGCTTTCAAGATGAAAATAAGGACTACAAGTATGCTGACGCTGACTTTGGTGGTAATAACATTTGGATTTTGGATTTCCGCCATACTCACACCGG